GCCACCAAAGTCTGCCGCCCCACCTGGTCCTGCCTTTTCCGCACTTGTCCTGGAGCAGGTGACCTATGTTTCAGGCATAGGGCTCAGCCAGCACAGACACACTGGCGGCTGTATGCACTCCCTTGAGTGCACGGACGAGACCACCGCGACCCCGGGTTCCAACTGCTGGCCTTACACTTTGTTGTTAGCAAAACATCTATAATGTATGTGAGAGCAGGTTAACCTGCCTTGGAACCAGGTCTTACGTGGACTGCATGATACGTTTTGTTTACAGGGCAGTTTCTTGACCCAGGCGATTTTCATTTAAAAAAATCAGAAGCACTGGAATCCTTTTTCCAATGAGTGAGAGTTGTAATTGTGCAAACTTCCACGAATATAAGTAGCAGAAGCAAAGCAACCCTGCCTCACTCCTCCCATGCCACCTCCCCCAGAACTGGTGCCCTCCCCTCCTCGCACCCCCAGGTGAGACCGCAGTGCTGAAGGGGCCTGTGTCACGGTGCGTTCTCAGACAGATTCAAAAAAGGCCGCCCACTGCAGTTAGGCAGAGACCCTGGGAAATACACGGAAAATAAAGGAAGGAGCTACATTGGAGTCCAAGTGCTCACGATGGCTTAAAAGTAGAGGCTGGGCACAGTGGCTCATACCTGTCGTCCAGCATTTTGGGAGGCCGAGGCGGGCGGATCACAAGGTCAGGAGTTTGAGACCAGCCTGGCCAAGATAGTGAAACCCCGTCTCTACTAAAAATACAAAAAATTAGCTGGGCATAGTGGCAGGTGCCTGTAATCCCAGCTACTTGGGAGGCTGAGGCAGGAGAATGGCTTGAACCCAGGAGGCAGAGGTTGCAGTGAGCCGAGATCGTGCCATCCCACTCCAACCTGGGCGACAGAGTGAGACTCCATCTCAAAAAAAAAAAAAAAAAAGTGGCCGGGCACGGTGGCTCACGCCTGTTATCCCAGCACTTTGGGAGGCTGAGGCGGGTGGATCACGAGATCAGGAGATCGAGACCATCCTGGCGAACACGGTGAAACCCGTCTCTACTGAAAATACAGAGAAAAATTAGCTGGGTGTGGTGGTGGGCACCTGTAGTCCCAGCTTCTAGGGAGGCTGAGGCAGGAGAATGGCGTTAACCTGGGAGGCAGCGAAGCTTGCAGTGAGTCGCGCCACTGCACTCCAGCCTGGGCAACAGAGCAAGACTCTGTCTCAAAAAAAAAAAAAAAGTAGAAGGTGCATCTTCACAGGTACTGTTTTATCTACAGCATCGCCCAAGCTCAGCCACCTGGGAGGCTAGTAGGCTGTCATCTGGCTTAGTCAATAGTGCTATTAATGCAAAAGGCAATTACATTTTTATTTAAAGTTTCTACAAGAATTGCTGAACCTGGGTTCCGATTCTGATGGTGCTCTGCCTGTTTGCGTGTGTGTGTGTGTGTGTGTGTACACATTGGTGCATGTGCACAGGAGCGGGGGGTCACCTAAACTTACCGAGTACGAACGTAACTCGGGTGGGAAATGCGTCTGCCCCACTGTCCCTGAGACTGCCACTGAGAGAGGTGGGATCTTCCCCTGAGAGGCCGCTCCTACGGCTCCATCTGCAGAGCTGCCGATACCGACGCTGTACGGAGTGGAGGGTGGAGGACGCTGTCTCAGGGGACAGCACTCTTCCAGATATTTAGTTTCACAACCTAACATCTCCCAGGTTGAGTATCTTCTCAATCCATGTGAGGAAATGCCCTCAAAGTATTTTTAGTGTGAACCAAACCACGTGAGAAACATCTTTTCCTCACCAACGTGTTTATGACTTTCCCGCCTCTTAGTAATTGTGCAGACAAGAGTCCACGCCGGAGGTCTGGGACCGTCCACTCTTAGGCAGGCCTGTGGCGAGCGAGGTCCCGGGCTGTGGTCTGGGAACGCGGGTTTCCAGAGTGCTCCCACCCACCATGCCCTAACCAGGAGGGCGGTTTGCTGTGCCTGAACGGCTGTGAGCACCACACGGTCTGTGCGGAACAGCCTCTTTCCTCTGGAGCCTGGAATCTTGGTGGCACCAAGCGAGGCAGCCTATGAGACCAGCCCCTAGTAAAGCCCTGGGGAAGGGTCTCTAACAAGCCTCCCTAACAGACAGCATTTCATGTGTGGGGTCACGGCACGTGAGCATTTCACACGGGTCACGGCGTGTGCTGGGAAATTCAGCGTCCCATGTGACTCTTTGAGGAGGGGTTCCTGGACATCACCACGCACTTCTCATTGCAATGAGTCATAGCAGTGACAGGATCATATCCTAAGTCCCGGGAGCTCTAGCAAGTCAGGGAAACTGGAGGGGTCACGGGGACCCCAGGGCAGTTATTAAAAGAAGTTCTTTGTGGAAACGGACCTAGAAGAAGATCTATCCACGGCTCACTCTTGGTCACTTGGCAGCATGCATTCTCAGCTGTTCACTGGTTCCCTGTCTACACCTTCCCCAACCAGGCCGCCGCAGCCACTCTCCCCACTCCCCCACCCCAGGACAGAGACCTTCCTTTCCTTAGCGTCCCAGCCAGACTCCCAATCCATGTCCCTCTCCCAACTGCTCAGGATGGAAGCCAAGGTGCCCCCAGCATCTGGGTCCTACCATCTCAGTCATATCCCTCCACAGAGGCCGTCCACCAGAATCTTCCCTCCCCAGGCCCTGCTGCTTCCCAAACCAAGCCCTGTCTTCTTGCCACATGGCCGCCTGCTCTGCCCTTTCCACCGTCTGTTCACAGCCATCAAGGCTGTGATATCCCTGCTGCTGCACACAGATGGTCAGTTCCCTGCACAGCCCTCCTGCCCCCCAGGTTACTGCCTGGCCCGGGACATTCTCAGCCCGGCTGTCCTCCCAGACCCAGGACCAGCATGGCCACTCTCCTGCTGCTTCTGCCACCTCTAAGCCGATTCCTCGCAGGTTTCCAGGGGGACCTGCCTTCCCCTCTGCCAGAAGCATCGTCCCCAACTTCCCCAAGTCCTCACAGGGTCCAGACTCCCATCGTGTCCAGATGTCACTTCCACGAGGACCTTCCTGCTGACCCCAGCCCTCTCTGCTTTCCTGTTCTCTTGCCTGATGTGAAGTTGCCCATTGCATGAGTCTCCCGGGGCTGCCAAGACAAATTAGCACATGCTGGGAGCTTAAAACAACAGGAATTCTTCTGTGATCCTTGTGAAGGCCGGAACTCTCAAGCTGAGATGTCTGCAGAGCCCTGCTGCCCCTGAAGGCTCTACAGGAGAATTTGCGCCATGTCTCTTACTCCCGGTGGTGCCGGAGGTGCTTGGTGTTCTGCGGCTCGTAGATGCACCCGCCACGCTCCGCCTCCATCTTCACACCTCTTCCCTGGGCGTCTGTGCCTGTGTCCAAACTGCTCTCTTCTTATAAGGACACCAGTGATGGGAGTAGGGCCCACCCCACTGCAGAATGACCTCCTCTTCACTTGATTCGATCTGCAAAGATCCTATTTCCAAATAAGGTCACATTCACAGGTACAGAGGTTAGGACATGGATGTATCATTTGGAGGGATACTATTCAATCCATAACATACATTTTCACCTGCTTTCCCCACTAGAATGTAGGTTTCACGAGGACAAGGACCACATATTGTTCATCACTGTAACTCAGATATCTAGAACAGTACATTACACCTATTTGATACTCACAAATAATGGATGGATGAATGCATGGGTGAACAGATAGGTAAATGGATGGATGCATGAGTGGATGGATGGATGGATGGATGGGTGGATGAATGGATGGATAGGTGGATAGATGGATGAGTGGATGGATAGGTGGATGGATGAGTGAACAGGGGATAGATGGATGAGTGGATGAATGGATGAGTGGATGGATGGGTGGATGTACGTATGTATAGATGGATGAATGGGTAAATGGACTGATGTGTGGATGGATGAATGCATGAGTGGATGGATGGATGGATGAGTGAATGGATGGATGAGTGGATATATGGACGGATGGATAGATGGATAAATGGGTAAATGGATTGATGATGGATGGATGGATAAATGGAGGGGTGGGTGGATGGATGAATGGATGGATGAGTGGATGGGGGATGGATGGATGGATGGATGGATGGGTGTGTATGGATGGATGAATAGATGGATGGATGGGTAAATGAACTGATATGTGGATGGATGGATGAATGGACGGATAGATGTATTGACTGGTATTACAGGAATATGTGAGTGAATCCTGTTTTCTGTAGATAAGTAATCGAGTTTGGAGAGGAAACTAAGTAAATGATATTCATTTAAACCTAACACTATAACTTGAAAGTAAAATGGCTTTAATGTCATTTGTGTCAGAAATGCTGTGTTTTTTGGAGAAAGCTATGAGATGCTGGTATACAACGTGAAATTTCTCAATCCCACTTCAGATTTCTAATTGTTTCTGCTTCCAGAGGAGAAGCCAAGTCAAAATGTCCTGAATAAGCAGTTCTCTATTGTGAGAGGCCTCTTGTGGAATCTGGGATTGAAAAAATTCTAAATGCCCCACTTCTTTCATGCATGGATTGCAAAAAGACGTGGCAAGTTTTGCTTCTGCCAAGAAAACTAAAAACACCTTTTGTGAAATAAATGATCCTTACATATTTAACTTATGCACCAGTGGCCTTTTAAACAGTCCGTGTCCCGTGAAGGTGCCTGCACATCTGGGCTCTCCAGGAGCAGCCATGGCAGCACCCAGGAAGAAACGCTGATGTGGCCGCTCTGCGTGCTCCTACTTCATCGGGAAGCCTTGGTGCATTTTACCCAGGGTGCCAAATCTCGAATAACCGAGGAATTCCCAGGACCTTCTGAAACACAGAGCTGCAATAAGCCTGCTCCATCCAGGTTAGCTCCATCCTAGGCCAAAGGCTTTATGAGGACTGCACATATTCTGTGGGTTTTATAGGAGACAGCTAGGTCAAGACCCCTGAAAGAAAGCTGCTTTGTCCGGTGCTCAGCTTTGCACAGGCCCGTATTCATATCTCATTGTTGTTTGCAGGAGAGGCAGATGCGAACCAGAACAATGGGACCTCCTCTCAGGACACAGCGGTGACTGACTCCAAGCGCACAGCGGACCCGAAGAATGCCTGGCAGGATGCCCACCCAGCTGACCCAGGGAGCCGCCCCCACTTGATCCGCCTCTTTTCCCGAGATGCCCCGGGGAGGGAGGACAACACCTTCAAAGACAGGCCCTCTGAGTCCGACGAGCTCCAGACCATCCAAGAAGACAGTGCAGCCACCTCCGAGAGCCTGGATGTGATGGCGTCACAGAAGAGACCCTCCCAGAGGCACGGATCCAAGTACCTGGCCACAGCAAGTACCATGGACCATGCCAGGCATGGCTTCCTCCCAAGGCACAGAGACACGGGCATCCTTGACTCCATTGGGCGCTTCTTTGGCGGTGACAGGGGTGTGCCCAAGCGGGGCTCTGGCAAGGTGAGCTCTGAGGAGTAGAGGAGCTTTAGTTTAAATGGAAAAGCAAAGGAGAAATCAGTAGGTGAACTAAGCCATTAGAGGAAGAACTGGCATGTGGCCTCTTGCTGGCTAAGGTCTCGTTCCATGCTGGAGAACGCATATGAGCCCAAGAGTGTGGGCCTGAGTGGCTGCTTAGGACGTTTTCATTTGACTCACCCCCTCTCTTCCTCACAAGGGATGACGGCCGGGGTGTGGCTCAGGAATGTAAGGACATGCTGAATTCTGGTTGTCCAAGGGTGCCTGGACGTGGGCATTGCAGAAAGAGAGCCACATTCTCGGGGGCTCTGGGGGTGTGCGCTTGCGGACTTTATGACTGATTTGCCTCTGCGGCCCACACGCTGGGGTTCAGCCCTGGGTTATGCTCATTTTTTCCAGGAGTCAGTGCTGCTGGCTTCATGTTGCAGCAATCATAAGATTGAGGAAGACTTTTGAACAAAGTCCTCAGTTTAAATCCGCCTTGAGCAGACTTTCTCTGTGGTGTGAGAAGTGGAAGGGGTGGAGGGATAAATGAGTGTCTCTGAATCAAAGCTTTATTATCTTGTGATTCCATTAATTTGCATACAGAGTCTTAGAGGTTTCTTTATTTAAAAGCAAATGTTTCTGTGGATAAAAATGTATTACAAGGAGAGAAAAAAAAAAAAAGGAAAAACTCTGCCGTGGGGTCCGGCGTCTAGGAGTGGCTTCTGCAGTTTGTCAGTGGCGAACGTGTTGCTGCTGGTTCATCAAAGCACTGGTCCCTGAGTGCCATTCGGATTGCAAATGCAGCATTTCACATGATGTTTAGAGTGTTTGGTGGTTGTGTAATTTTGGAGAGAGAGAAGTTTTTCCCAAAAAAGTCCCTAGTGTATTGGGCGTTCTCTCACAACCTGTAAGATGCAGCTGCTTTTCTGCCTGTGCGCAGGGCTGACTCTGGAATTCCGGAAGGCCTTATGGGAGCATAAAAGGCTTTTGAATAACGTGTGGAACACAGCACCTCACTCTGATAACACGCAATCGTAAAAACCATAGGGCAACTTGGAGTTAAGGAGTTTCTAAAATTTGCTTTAGTCTCCAACTGAAATTCTTTATTGATCATGAAATTGTTGAAGATAAACAAATGTCAGTTTTACCTTTCCTGTGGGCATGAAAGCACATGGAAGTTTCAGGCAACTGTTAACTTCTCTACCATCTGCTCTGCGTTGAGATTTCAGGTTGTGACGCTTGCCATGACTTATTTGTAAATGACATTTGGTGTATCTTAGATACTCAAGGAATTCATATTCTGGCTAGTTCTTTCAGAGTATTTGTAGACATTTTCTTTTCCTTTGTGGCAGTCCTCCCTCATCCTGAAATGTTGGTGTTCCAACCTATTTCTAATGCTAATCTCAACTGGAAGCACTTTTGCAAGCCCAGCTATCAAACCACACCAGATAGGTATGGTTCGGGTTGCCCAGTGAAGTATGCTATTATGCTAAGCACCCCTCACACACACAGCATCACCGGTTTTGAAAGCTTGAACTATTCTGCTTACTTCAAGGTACAGAAAAAAAAAAAAAAAGTACTTAAACTGTACAGAAAAGATGAAATCGCTGGATAGTATGTATTGTAAAACAAGCTTCATGTCAGTGATAATGGTTTAAGTTGAAATAAAATGGTGAAAGCATTGATATCAATCATTGTGACTTTATCTCAGAAGGCTATTGAAACACAGATGTTTTTCTTCCTTTATGGTGAGATTACAGCCTTTATTGTCTTAAATCTCTTCTACTCTTCAATATTTTCAAAGAAAACATTCTAGTCTCAGAAATAGTCCACCTCTTTGCAAAACAGGGCTGCCCACTTTTCAAGGACCCAGAAAAATCAAAACACTTTCAAAAATTTAAAAAATAAAAATAATTTTCACGTAATTGCTTTAGGAATTTTGAAGTGTCAATTCTTTTCACTATTGAGTGTCGAATATAGAAGATTTTTTAATGAACAGGCTTGCCCTTTGATGCCAAAGGCAAAAAAAAAAAAAAATAACATTTGCACGTGTGATCATACAGCAACCTGTGAGGTGTCCCGGTGGAAAGCACGCAGTGGGGATGTGCGTTTGTCCCACTCAACTGTTTTATCACAAAGTGTCATCAACACGGGAGATGAAAGCTGAGCTCTCGACACCCAGCTACAAACCCACAATGGCCCTAAAAATCTGGGGTATTCATTGGTGTGGGCTGCCATGGAGGAATTTTTGGTTTTGTTTTTATTTTTATTTGTTGCTCTGTTTACAAATCAGGAGAGCCCTCGTTTTTACACGCTAGGAAGGTCCTTGCGATAGACCAAAGAGGTGTGAAAACGGGAGAGTGGAAGGCCCAAGCCCTGTCTCTCAGGACCACGGCAGCCTGCCCCGCACACAGTTCTTCTGCTTCCCGTCCAGAGCAAGGTTTCCTGACAGATTCCTGCCAGACTCTGAACGGAGCTCCCCATGACCCTATAAAAGGGGCTGTTTGTCCCCCTCCCACCCTCCTGTGCTCTTCCTCCCTCCCCTTGAGGGCACGTGGCCACTGGTACCACATGTTGGAGCGGCCGCCCCCGAGCCCGGGAATGCCCTAACACCACCCACGCCGGTGTTGCTGGGAGCTGACATTCAAGAAAAGTGCATTAAAAATTCCTTGAGGAGGCATATTCTTTTGAGAGCCGTAAATGAAAAGTGCATTCACAGAGAACGTGCTCCTTTGTTGTGAGAGGAAAGAACAGGTTTCCCAGTTCCCCAGAATGTCAGGGTCACATGAGGAATGGGTGGGCGCTTAGGGTCAAGACTGGTGTGTGCTTGGCCCGGCAGCTTCTCTCCAAGTGACCTCCCCAGCATCCCTCCTGTGCCAGTGCTCATATCTGAGGCCACTTGAGTGTCACGAGGCAGAGCCTGGAAACATTCGCTTTGGAAACCGTTCCTTCCTTTTCCTGTGGAGGAAGTAAGATTTCACAAAACACCTAAGCTGGACACGGTGATGTGCCACTGGGACGGTTCCCAAAACAGAAAGCAGCCAGGACATCCCAGTCCCCCACTTCTCCGTGCTGTGTACTTGTAGGGAGTTTTTTGAAAGCTAGCTTCTGACTGATGATTTTGTCTATTTTTCTGTTTTACATTAAAACCTTCATTTATCAACCTGCTCTTCTCAGCATTCTTCTATTCAGCATTCAGTATGACTTCCGTGCCTCTAATTGTGACTGTGTAGGAGAAGAACTGTTTGTCATCCAGTGCTGTGGGGTCTAGTCAGCCCTGTACATTAATCAGAATGTTCTGCTGCCTGATTTTTTTTCCACTGCGTTTTAATTTCATTAAACATGTTTTAGTTCTACAGTAACCTAATTCCTCATTGTTAACATGAGATTCTAATTCTGTAGCTGTGTTCTGTAATCCCACAAGGCGTGTACCATTTGGAGACACACGAAGGATACAGTAGACAGCACGGAGGGCAGAAACACACAGGGCGTCCACCCTCCCCAGAGCACAATGTGCACCCAGAACCAAATTCAATTTCATTCATCATGAGCGTGCTTGGCAACTGATCCGGCCACCCAGTGCCTCCATTGGATAAGAGATTTGGCCAGAGATTCTTCTAGAGAAAATCCAAAAATGGAGGGTGCATTTGTTTCTGCACCCAAATACCTTTTGAGATTTCTTATAGGCATTCCTCTCGAAGTCTCATTACCCTGATCAGTTATTAATCGGAGGCTACCCTGGCCCGGTCGCCAGCTGCTCACTGTGTCCTTCTGTGGTCTCAGGAGCTGCAGTTGTGGCTGTTGTATGAATAGACGATAGTTAATTAGACGGGATATGTCTGTACTGGCAGTGATGTGGCAACCTCCTCTGTATAAGCGATACATTTGTAAATCATGGTAATGTATCTGATGGTAATTGCCTGTGGTGGTTGTATCATGATTTCATTTTATTATGAGCTTTTTGCTTTATATATTTCTCTGCCTTTTTATGCATTCATTAAACAGCTGAACAGACCAAGGACAGTGTACTAATTGCATGTGAACTTTTTTAAGTTGTCGTGTTTGGTTTGCCCTCCCTACATCAGTGTGCTGCGTTGCTGGCATTTCTGTGGCCTGGTGACACAGCTGGCAGGTAAGTCTGAGCACCCGAGCTCCTGTGCGGAAAGGTCGCAGTTGCTCGCTCGTCTGCTTTTACTGCACAAAGACATTGGACTCTCTTCTCCCCTGACAGCTCGGTGTGCTGGTCTTTCCGTGATGACTAGTGTGATTCTGCGTGAAGTGTCTTGTTTCTCTCAAAGCATCCTCCCGCGAATGTTAGGGCAGGGTGGATGCTGAGCAGACCCCACTGGCCGGTGCTGTCACGGACACATCCCACTCCACCAGAACTTCCTGAATGAACGTGCACACGGGTGCCAGTATCCACAGAGCCCCCCGGGAGCTCACACACAAGGGGGGTCATGGGAACCTCGAGACACTGAAATGAGGGGATGGTGCTGGCGCTCTGAAGGATGATAATGTGTATGAGATGAAGGTGAAACTTGGGGTCCTTGAGAAATTAGAAACAAGAGTAAAGATAAGTGATTGGCTTGGATGTGGTCCCGCCTTTCATGTCCATCAGACCCTCATCTTAACCCAACTCCTCCCTTTAAACTCATTTGCATTTTAAAGCATTCATTTCTCTCATCGTTGATTTTCCTTTGATAAAATGTCTGGACATTTGATAACAGGCAATTCTGATCGGTGAATTAGGAGCTTGGCTTGACATCAGAGGGAATAGATCATCCTTAGAAAAAAAACACACAGTAGCACTCATGAAATGAGTTGATATTGATTAGATATTGATTCAAATTTGAGAACTGTGGACATTTCCTATCAAACTCTGATTCAATGTTTGTGTAAAGTCTCTTCCTTCATGTCTATCAGCACATTCCTAATGCTCTGAAATCATCCTACTTCATAAAAAGGTAGTAAAAAAAGGAGAAACAGCTAAAGAACACTGAACTCTTTTGAGGGAGCCCCGTAAAAGCAGACTCTTAGCACGCACAATTTCTCCTAAGAGGTTATTCTTGCCTTTCGTCTTCTCTGGCTCTTGCATTTGTCCCCCCTCTTCCTGGCTCTGGGAGTGGCAGGCAGCTGGGGCCACAGGTTGCATTTCCTGAAAACCATCAGTGGGACGCCTTATACCTACTCCCGTCACCTGCCTTCCCCATGGGTAGAAGGGGAGTCGGTGGAGGGGCTTCATAGCAGCCCACCAGAGCCACGAGAACATGTCTCACAGCGATGATCCCCTTCGTGAAGAAGAGCCATTGCAGGAGATGGAGGGAAAAGCAATAGAAAGTTCTTTGCGTGGTGGCCCCTGTGCAGAGCGTGCATTTGCTCACGCTCGTGGACGCCAGCTGATGAGAGTCACTGCTTACCGGGACAGCCGAGTCTCATCAACACAGCAACTCCCACAGGCTTGTCCACGGAGACATCCTCTAAAGTAAATCCTCAATTTACTTACTCTTTCATATCATAAATTAAAGTCACCAGAAATTCCTGCTAATATAGAAATAGCCTCTCTCATGCAGGGAGAATCCATTATGAGACATACAGCTAAGCACACACTCACCACAGATTTGCCTCTGAAAACCCCAGTGTGTTTACTTTCCATAATACTTCTAGAATGTGCTCACATTCTTCAGTGTCGGAACTACTCTACTCTCACGCATACTCAGCTGCTAACCTGGTTAAAAGAATCCATTTCATCTGCAGCCAATACATCTCCTGAAACCTATGACACTGATTTCATCTCTTGACCACTGTAAGTCTCCTCTTTCTCTTCTTTTCTCTGTCTTCGTTTTGCTGTAGCGGATAATCAAATAGACACTTCCTGCAGGGCACTTACCTTGGTCCTATAATAGTCTTTCAGCTGCGGCCCTCAAAGTTCATTGATATAGCAGATACTCTCGTGTAACTGACCAAGAGAATACATTAAGTTAGAAGCAAATGCTACTTAGGAAGATTTGTAACCACAGAGCTCAGGTGAGTGCACAGCTCCTGCTCCCGCCGAGGAAGATTAACTTCCTACTTGTGTTAAATTCCTAACCTACACCAGTAGCAAGGAAGAATGTCAGCAAGAAAATCAACTTTAAGCAATTGGCTCAAGTGACTTTGAACACTTGCTTCTAAAATTATTTCCTTATGCTCTGCAGAAAATCTGAGAAGGTCGGTCTTCGGTTCACTGACCCTTCATAGAGCAGGAACAGTTTCAACTTGTCAATCCAATGCAGAAGCTAACACACTTGCTGTAAAAATACAACTCTACAAGGAAAGTGGAATGTAAAATTTATCTGTTCCACGGTAGACGTCAAAAAACCCTTTTAGTGCACTTTGCTCCGGCCTGGGAAATGCCTTCCGCCCTGGAGCCTAGAAATCTTTCACAGCTGGTGCCTCTGCCATATTGAGAACACTTGGTCCTGTTGTTTGATATAGGGCCTCAGCACAGACTTTGGAGGAGAGAATTCTTCCCTAAGCTTTCCTTTTGCTCTCTATTTCCTGAGTCCTTCGGGGCGCATGCCTGCCCTCTGACCTCCCGTCACCTCTTGCTGGTCCGTCCATCATCCATCATCTACACACGCCTTCTTTGCTCACTGTCGTCCTTCATCCTCCACCGCCTGCTCACTCCTCTTCACTCTGGGTTCTTGCCAAGCCAGCTCTAGAGGAGATTTGCTGGAGGACTTTGGGGCACTGCCGGCGGCGCCCACCCGGACTCACGCAGCTCGCTCTGTGTCCCCCGGCAGGTACCCTGGCTAAAGCCGGGCCGGAGCCCTCTGCCCTCTCATGCCCGCAGCCAGCCTGGGCTGTGCAACATGTACAAGGTAAGATGCCGGCGGGTCCCCACCCATCGGGGCCAGGGGTGACCTGCCCTTGCCTGAGCTCTCAGCCACTGTCCCTCGGGGCCAGGCAGTGTCACTGCCAGGGGTCCACCCCCAGCCTCGGGGGCATCTGTGAGGCCGTCAACGCGGAGGGGCAGGCCTCCCCCGCGAGAAAGCAGTTGCAGGAAAAGACATGGAGGACGTGCCTTTGAATCCTTGGAGGGACTCCTCCGCAAAGGGCATGGCTGTCAGCTCAGGACGATGGGCAGCCTTGGTGACAGGGTCTGCCTCACTTTGCTGAGACCTGAAGCGCGTGGAGGGGCCTGGGAGTGGCTCTGGTATTGAGGGCTGGCCTGGACCATGGCCACATGCAAACCTGTGCCTGAGTGTGCTTTGAAAACTAGTGCCTAGCAGATATTTAGCACGCACTATAAACACGGGTGGAATTGAGCTCTAAACGATGAGTGTCCTTGGGACGTCTGGTCCCTCTGGGCTCTGTCCTCACCTGAGCCCAGCTGAGTTCTGTGTAGGAAGTGGGCTATCAATGTGGCCTGTCCTCATCTCCTTGTGTGGCTGCCACAGCTTCTCAAAGCACATAGGTGCCAGGAGTAATCACAAAGAAGAGGGCAGCCAGGAGGAGAAGGGGAAGGGGACAAGCCCAGAGCTGGCACTGACGTCACCATGAGCAGGGCTGCTGTTTGCACAGTAGGAGCGGTCACCACAAACCTGCGTCCACCGGGCCCCCTTCCAGATCCAAGCCACCACCGTCCGCACCTGGGCACCTGGCTTTTTAAGCGTGGGCATATGCAAAAGATTGGAAACGTGCTCAAGTACTTAAATAGCGAGAACATTTCACAAGTGTGCTCAATGGAGCACCCGGTGTGAGGGAGAGCTGGGGTACGCCTCTTCAGAGGCCTGCAAGGTGGGACCATTTACACTGAGCAAGGAGCACAGGAGCATGGGGGACAGGACGCCTGCGGGTGCCAAAACTTGGAGCCCTTGAAGGGGAAGCGTCCGCCAGGTGTGGCTGCATGTCAGACGTCATGCTAGTGCCTGGGTGTCCAGGGCTGCGCCGCCGCCGTCCAGGAGTGGGTTTATGAGGAATGAGGATGTGCCTGCTGGCCCCAGGATGGCCAGTCCAGGGCAGTGGCTGAAAGTGCAGCAGAGGAAGCCAGGGCTTGGGGGCAGAAGGGCCCTGGGGGAGCCAGGACCAGACAAGGGCCAGGTGAGAGCCCCACGGTGGTCGTGGGACTCGGAGTGACTGGCGGCTGCGGCTGGGGAGAAGGATTTCTTCCTCAAGCCACAGGGGAGGAGGCGACCGTGCACCCTAGGGGGTCTCGGCGGTTTGGACGCCCATCCTGAGAGTCTGTGTTTAATGTGAATCGTGCTCTAGTTGTGAAGCCGTGCTTGATTTTCGAGGGCTGTCTTGGTGATGGGAAACACCAGCACTACCCCCAGGCAGTTTCTGAGGGTCCCCTGTCCTTCTGGGAGGCCCCTTCCCTGGGATGCACTGGGGCTGTGGCCACCTGGGCTTCACTGAGACCAGGACGGGGCTGCAAGCACCTGCCCCTGCCTGGGAGGCACCGACCCAGCCCCGCCCTGGAGAGCAGTGCTGGTGAGAAGGAGGATTTTAACTCTGGGTAGGAATATCTGATGTGTGGGAGGGTCGAGCTAAGGGTGGCACGGCACCCAGTGTGTGACGCGCTGGCAGGTAGCAGCTTGCCCCCTGCCCCGTTTCCTGCTCTGCGAGAGGCGTGCTGTCCTCAGTGGACCCTGGCCACAGAGAGATGCAGCCTCTGCCAGAAACCCCATGTTGCCAAGCAGAGTGGAGAGGATCAGAGTCCTGGGCTTCTGTATCCAGATCATAGTAAGAAATTCAACAGAATGCTTCATTCCTCTTCTAAAAAAAACTCTTTAGCAGGGAAAAGCAGCCCTTCTGTTCTCCACAGCTTCATCCTGGACAGGTTTTGCATGTACCTTTAAAAACCTGGTCAAAGATAAGTAAATTCTCTGCATAATGCTTTGTCCACGTGCCAGACCGCGCCTCACTCCTGTGCACACAGGGCAAGGTCATTGAAAGTCCTGCAGGCTTCCACGACTCGGCTCCTTGCACTCCACGCTTGTGTACTTGTGGGCACCCCATTCTGGTCCAGATAGGAAAAGCAGTAGGGGTGTGTGTGTGGTATTTACATGTCTATGGAGTGAAGGGAAAATGAAGATAAGCGTAAGTTGAAACTAGAGGCTGGGCAGGCTGTGTGGGCTCCCAGCATTGCTCGTGATGGACAGAGAACCCTCCCAGGGCTGCGTGCTAGAGGCCTCAAGTTCTCCTCCAGCCCCCTGAGCAGGGGCCGGCGATGCCTGGCTCACAGAGGCCGTCTCTGCAGGAGGTGTACACAGAGGGGCAGGCAGGCTGGTCTGAGAGCCCCCAGGGGTGCCCCTGCTCGAAGACAGTGGCAAGCCCATGCCACTTGCATACTGAGTGGAAGAATAAGCGAGGAGCTTCCCTCTCTCATCTCTGAGAAGGAGCTTCTGAGTTTGAATGTCTTCCTCTGGTACTTTGGGATGCTTTGTTACTGCAAGAAAGTGGCTGTGAAGGCACCAGCCACAGAGGAAGGAATTGCAAGGCTGGAGGCACTAAATGGTTTTAAAATACAGAGGGATTTTTAAATACAGGGATTCCATGACAAAGGACCCTTGAATCAGCTCCCAATGGAGACAGAAGCAGCTGGGTGGAAGGCTCAGGCTGAGAAGTGCCAGGAACGAGCAGAGTCAGAACCAAGCACTCCCTGCCCTGTGACTCAGAAACGCCCACAGCACTCATGCCCTCAGCTGACCAGAGGGTCTCTGCCTGGGTCCACCTCACCCTGTGTCCTCTCCCTCCCTGTCTCTTTGTCTGTCTGCTTCTCCCTCTCTCCCTCCCTCTTCCTGTCTCTCCCTTCCTCTTCCCTCTCCCTCTCTGTGCAAACACACCGGGAGGGTAAGGGAGACACCCCAGCTATGAATCAGGCAACGACGAGGCAAAGAATAACCTGCTCCCGTGCCGCGGTGCCCCCTCCAGAGTGGGACCCTGCTCCCAGCTCCGACTCCTGGGGACTCCGGTGCTCTCAGGGCTGACAGGGCTGTTTTCTTTGAGGACTGGAAGGCGGGCAGCAGGAGCACAGGAGGGGAATAGTGTGACATCTGAGAACCCAAAAGCAAGCTGGAGAAGCAAGGATTCCGAGGCGAGAGGAGCAACACACACGACGGGTAATGGCCACGTGGGAAGTAGACCCACTGTTCTCTGCAGTTCCTCTGTCTGCACAGCCCCTGCCGCCCGCCTGCCTGTCCATCGGGCGCTGCAGGTCCCTGGAACCTGGTGCTGGGCCCGCGCTGGAAGCTGGAGTGAGGGCACCTGCGGTGCAGCTGGAAAGGTGGCCCCGGGCAGGGCGGCTCCTTTCGGCCCCACCAATGGTGCCAGCTCCTCCAAGCTCCAGGCTCAGCCTGGGGCCCAGGACACTGACCTGAGCAGGACGGGGCTGCTCTGGGCTTCCAGCAGCCGCCGTCTTCAAGTCCTCGGACGTCATTTCTGCCTCATTCTCACAGACCCTAGTGCTCCTGGCCTGCCTGGGAGGACACTGTCCACCCCTCAGCCTTGGCACCCACGGAGGCTTCTGAAAAGACCTTCCCTGCCCCCGAATCCACCATCACCCAGCACATTGGCGTTTAGGAGGCAAAACATTTTGTGCCATGGGAAAGCACAGGATTAAGAACCAAAAATGCTTGGCTCAGGTCTCATGGCACCACGTCATAGTCCTGGACCTGGGGCAGGTGTCTGTCTTCTCTGAGCTTCCTTCCCTCTCCTGTAAAACAGCAACGGTGGCGAAAGCATCACCTGTCCTGCAGATGCTGTGGAACGTGCTGATCGAGCGAGAAAAGCAATGCAAATGCCCCCTAGGAGCCTCGTCCTCTGAAAACACTGAGTCACCGTAACCCCGCCCCAGTGCTGCTGCACACTCGTGCCATTTTGGAAGCGGCCTGGTGACCCTCGGAGCTGCTGGGGAGAGCAGCACTGGCTCTAAAAACCCTGGTGGCCCCAGTCCCTCTGCCCCTCAAGGCTACAGCTTTGGGTCCTCCTTGTTTCTGTGCTGGGGCCTTAGTTTCCAAAACTGTAAAATGAAAGTCACAGTGGTTAACCCCACATCAATCCCTGCTCCCACCATTCTTAGAAGGAAATGGCAATCAAGCCTCAAAAGCTCTGTGGTCGGGGCAGCTGGACTAGAACTTCACCCTCTGGCCGTCAGCTCCAAGTCATCTGCGTCTGGGAAGCAGCCGTCTCGGAGCCCCCCCTGTGGGAGAGAAGTCTCTCTTGCCCTGGGGAAGAGGAATTTTTTCCGTGGGTCTCTCGGGACGAGGAACAGAGACCCTGCTTCCCGGAGCTGTGGTCATCAAGGGTATGCTCCTGCATGGAGACGCCGTGGCAAAATGGCACCCGGGGGCGAGCGGCCATCAAGGTGCTAACCAGAGAGGCCACAGCACAGCCACCCGGAGGAAAGCACACAGCCATTTTAAGGACTTCCTCGCCAATCTGACAGCAGCTCTCAGCTCTGACAGGTGCTGTGTGCCCACCTCCGTTGCTTCTCCCTCTTCAGCACACTCACCAGGATGAGGAAGCTGGAACCCGGCATCAAAACTCTTCCCCTTTGAGATTAAACCCAGATCAGAAAAATGCAGCCACTGAAAGGGTTTACTTAATGGCAGAAGCACAGGCTGCCGACCTTTGACTTTTGTGTCCTTCTGTGCCCAGAGCCAGAGCCCCGATGTGGGTCCCACGAGGTTTCGTGCCAAGAGGTCTCTGATGCTGACCCCTGTGTCACCAGGGGACAGAGGCAAAGGCGCCCAAAGGAGGCCACAGGAACCTCACCTCCCCATGAAACATGGGAGAGAAAACATGACCAGATACGCCCTGACCACATCTACAAAAGCAGTATCTGAATCTCTGTGTCCAGCCTCACAGTTCGCTAAGA